TACAGCAACAGACCCAGGGGGAACATGATACAGCAACAGACCCAGGGGGACATGATACAGTAAGAGACCCAGGGGGAACATGATACAGTAAGAGACCCAGGGGGAACATGATACAGTAAGAGACCCAGGGGGAACATGATACAGCAACAGACCCAGGGGGACATGATACAGCAACAGACCCAGGGGGACATGATACAGCAACAGACCCAGGGGAACATGATACAGCAACAGACCCAGGGGAACATGATACAGCAACAGACCCAGGGGGACATGATACAGCAACAGACCCAGGGGAACATGATACAGCAACAGACCCAGGGGAACATGATACAGCAACAGACCCAGGGGGAACATGATACAGCAACAGACCCAGGGGAACATGATACAGCAACAGACCCAGGGGAACATGATACAGCAACAGACCCAGGGGAACATGATACAGCAACAGACCCAGGGGGAACATGATGCAGTAAGAGACCCAGGGGGAACATGATACAGTAAGTGACCCAGGGGGAACATGATACAGCAACAGACCCAGGGGGAACATGATACAGCAACAGACCCAGGGGAACATGATACAGCAACAGACCCAGGGGGAACATGATACAGCAACAGACCCAGGGGAACATGATACAGCAACAGACCCAGGGGAACATGATACAGCAACAGACCCAGGGGGGACATGATACAGCAACAGACCCAGGGGGACATGATACAGCAACAGACCCAGGGGGCATGATACAGCAACAGACCCAGGGGGACATGATACAGCAACAGACCCAGGGGGGACATGATACAGCAACAGACCCAGGGGGGACATGATACAGCAACAGACCCAGGGGAACATGATACAGCAACAGACCCAGGGGGACATGATACAGCAACAGACCCAGGGGGGACATGATACAGCAACAGACCCAGGGGGGACATGATACAGCAACAGACCCAGGGGAACATGATACAGCAACAGACCCAGGGGAACATGATACAGCAACAGACCCAGGGGGAACATGATACAGCAACAGACCCAGGGGAACATGATACAGCAACAGACCCAGGGGAACATGATACAGCAACAGACCCAGGGGAACATGATACAGCAACAGACCCAGGGGAACATGATACAGCAACAGACCCAGGGGGGGACATGATACAGCAACAGACCCAGGGGGACATGATACAGCAACAGACCCAGGGGGCATGATACAGCAACAGACCCAGGGGGGCATGATACAGCAACAGACCCAGGGGGTCATGATACAGCAACAGACCCAGGGGGATATGATACAGCAACAGACCCAGGGGGGACATGATACAGAGAGAGACCCAGGGGGACATGATTCAGCAACAGACCCAGGGGGGACATGATACAGCAACAGACACAGGGGGTCATGATACAGCAACAGACCCAGGGGGGACATGATACAGAGAGAGACCCAGGGAGACATGATACAGCAACAGACCCAGGGGACATGATACAGCAAGAGACCCAGGGGGACATGATACAGCAACAGACCCAGGGGGACATGATACAGCAACAGACCCAGGGGGTCATGATACAGCAACAGACCCAGGGGGTCATGATACAGCAAGAGACCCAGGGGGACATGATACAGCAACAGACCCAGGGGGACATGATACAGCAACAGACCCGGGGGGTCATGATACAGCAACAGACCCAGGGGGTCATGATACAGCAACAGACCCAGGGGGTCATGATACAGCAAGAGACCCAGGGGGACATGATACAGCAACAGACCCAGAGGGACATGATACAGCAACAGACCCAGGGGGTCATGATACAGCAACAGACCCAGTGGGTCATGATACAGCAACAGACCCAGGGGGTCATGATACAGCAACAGACCCAGGGGGTCATGATACAGCAACAGACCCAGCGGGTCATGATACAGCAACAGACCCAGGGGGTCATGATACAGCAACATTTCCGCATGTCCAATGTCATGCGATCAACACCCCACACATGTCCAACACCCCCACATGTCCAACACCCCCACACATGTGCAACACTCACACACATGTCCAACATTCACACATGTCCAACACCCACACACATGTCCAACACTCACACACATGTCCAACACCCACACATGTCCAACACCCCCACACATGTCCAACACCCCCACACATGTCCAACACCCCCACACATGTCCAACACCCCCACATGTCCAACACCCCCACACATGTCCAACACCCACACACATGTCCAACATCTCCACATGTCCAACACCCCCCCACATGTCCAACACCCCCCCACATGTCCAACACCCCCACACATGTCCAACATCCCCACATGTCCAACACCCCCCCACATGTTCAACACCCCCCCACATGTCCAACACCCCCACATGTAAAACACCCCCACATGTCCAACACCCCCACAAATGTCCAACACCCCCCACATGTCCAACACCCCCACATGTCCAACACCCCCCACATGTCCAACACCTTCACATGTCCAACACCCCCACATGTCCAACACCCCCACATGTCCAACACCCCCACACATGTCCAACACCCCCACACATGTCCAACACCCCCACATGTCCAACACCCCCACATGTCCAACACCCCTACACATGTCCAACACCCCTACACATGTCCAACACCCCCCACATGTCCAACACCCCCCACATGTCCAACACCCCCACACATGTCCAACACCCCCACATGTCAAACACCCCCACGTGTCTAACACCCCCACATGTCCAACACCCCCACATGTCCAACACCCCCACACATGTCCAACACCCCCACATGTCCAACACCCCCCACATGTCCAACACCCCCCACATGTCCAACACCCCCCACATGTCCAACACCCCCACATGTCCAACACCCCCCACATGTCCAACACCCCCACATGTCCAACACCCCCCACATGTCCAACAGCCCCACATGTCCAACACCCCCCACATGTCCAACAGCGCACGATGTTATTACGATCGACCACTATTTGGGCGACTGAAATCTCGACACAGAATCACACTCGAATGCGTCAAATGAACACCTCCGAATCCCTTGCATTTCAACTTCCATCTCCATCTCTATCTCTCTCTCTCTCTCTCTTTCTTTCTCTCTCTCTCTGTCTCTCTCTCTCTTACTCTCCCTAGGCACGGGAGAGTTCCTCTCTACGAGCTGACGAACAAACCGTCAAGAGAGCAGAGATGGTAATTTTGTCACGACTGAGGTAGGTCAACGCCGAAGCCAGGTCCGCGTGCAGGGTTCGGGAGACTCGGGTGCCAAGCTGATGAGGGGGGGGGGGAGGAAATGGTGCCAGTTAATGAATAAACTTTCACGATGGTGTCTTGGAAATTAATCAAGTCCCATCATTCGGTCCTGTGTCTTTCTCCGAGTCTTTCCTACCCCCCCTCCCTCCCCCCCTTCCCCCCACTACGGTGTCTATGATTGTCCGTCTGTCTCATACCCCCCATCCCCCCCCCTCCTACCCCACAATTCGTGTCTGGTGAGGAGCCTACAACTGTCTCTGTCTCTTAGGCTCTTCTCTTACCTGTCTTTCCCCGTGTTATCTCGGTAAAACTGCCTCTCTCACTGTCTCTGTCTGTCTGTCGGTCAGTTACTCTCATACGACAAAACCGGCTATGTCTTGAGGTTATCTTCAGATGATGATTTCGGGGCTATGCGTCCCCGCGGCCCGGTCCTCGACCAGGCCTCCTTTTTGTTATAGGGGACCATCAGGACGGAACACAATGCTCAAGGACTACCTCCCAGAAACTAAAGGTTATAGCAACCTTGAAGAACACACACCACCCACGTGAGACCAGTCCTACAGTCTGCAGCTCCGTCACGCAGCCACAAAAATTGAACACGAAACTTGAACAAATACAGGTTGAAGGACGGCTTGTTCCAGACTGAACAATGTTGCGGTGGGTGAAACACTGGTGGATGTGTGGTGGTGGAACACTGGTGGATGGTGAGGTGGATGTACAGAGCATAGAAAGCTTCAACCGTAAATATGATTAGTGAGTAAAGTAATGCAGCGCACAACAACTCTAACTCTACACTGTAAACCACGAAGTTGTAAACTCGCAAACTTAAAACCCCAACCTATGTGAGACCAATGCTGCTGTATGCAGCCCATGAATGGGGACCCATATCCAAACAACTGCAAGGCAAAACTCAAGAAAGTTCAAAGATATGTCGCACGAATTGTTCGAGAGTTGATATGATTGCTGTGCGAGGAAAGACTGAAGCTGCTAGATATTACTAAATTAAACAATAGAAGAAAAACGATGAGAAATGATCGCAATATGAAAGATCTTAAAAGATGTGAACACAGAGACGTTGACATGAAGAGTCCCGCTGAATGAGTCCCTTTCAGAATATGAAGAGGGAGCCCTGGAAACATAAACCGAAACTGTCTCTATTTTCCGCTTGTTACATCTTGGCTAAACGTGTTTATGACGTATTGGAACGTTGTTACAACTTGTTATATTGGTTGTTATAACTGGTTAGGAGGTGTTAAAACTTGCTCCAACGTTGTACCAACGTCGGAGTTTCGGTTTGTGTTTAGAGGGAGATGGCTGCCTGCATATGTAACACATACTCATTATAGCAGTTCAACGTCACTAGCTAACATACTTTAAGTTTACTATCGACCAAAACCCGTCAAAGTGTTCAAAGGTTCAACTTCCGTTGGTCGAGTCTCAAGTTGGCCGCTGTTTCGTTAATCAAGTTGTTTTCTAATCAACTTTTCTTCCAAAGTTCACAACATTTTTACCTTAAGTACTACTGGATACTCAGTTCTCGTCGACCAAATGTTTGTAGTCAACTCTTGATGATTCTTGAAGACTATCATTAACTCTTGATGATTCTTGAAGACCATCATTAACTCTTGGTCGTCTTGAAGACCATCATCAACTCTTGGTCGTCTTGATGACCATCATCAACTCTTGGTCGTCTTGAAGACCATCATCAACTCTTGGTCGTCTTGAAGACCATCATCAACTCTTGGTCGT